CTCTCCTCCTTTTTATTTTTCTTTATTTTTTCATATATGAAAATCTCTTCAGGATCTCTCTTTCACTTACTTTCAGGGGCTGAAGGAAGTCAGTGCCAGGTTGCGATCTAGGGAGTAGGTTGAGGAAGTGTAACGAGAGACAGAATTCAAAGCTGACGATTAGCTACCAAGGGGGACACTGTATGCAAAGTAAAGGGTTATAGAGAGAGAAAATTTCCAGGGTTGTTGGCACTGGAGATGGTGCTGTGGAAGTAGCAAAATGACTTGTCAAGAATGACAAATGCGGGTCCACCACAATTATAATGCGTTGACAATTGCAAAGATTGAATTTTTTTTTTTTTTTTTTATGCGTGAATAGATAAGTGTAGAAAAAATAATAGAATTAGTGTGTTGAAACTGGGATAAATTTGAAAGAAACAAAAGTGTAATAGAAAAGATTAAAAAATTTAGGATGTAACGAAAGCCCAATACATTCGTGTAAGTTAAAATTATCAATTTGACATTCCTAAAAAATTAGGGTGTCCATGTAATGTTTAAAAGATAAATTACAAATAAATTCTTTGGAGTTTGTTTAAAATATGAATTGCGTTAAAAAAAATACAGAATAGCTCTCTATCAAAATTTTTTTATTTAAGTGAATTAATTAAAAAAAATAACCATTTTCTTAACCATTCGCATAATAATAATAAAATTATTAAAGTTATTAATTTAAAATAAAAATTAACTTAATTTAAAAAATTTAATTAATGATATTTTTTATTTAAAAATAAATGAAATTAAAAACTTTATCTTGAAATGTAATTCAAAACGTAGAGAGACAATTTATTTAAAGAGAGAGTGACGCCTTGTTAAGGAGCTCCATCAACAGTTCGGACACCGCTCATCACTTCTCAGATAGGTGCCGCTCGAGTCGAAGTAACATCTCTCTCTCTCTCTCGATGTTTGGTTGCTGAGAAAAAACAAGGGAAGTAAAAAGAGAAATCAGTTTCATTGTTTGTTTTTACTGCGCCTTCGATGCAAATGAGTGAGGGAACCATGCTTGGAAAATGGCTTAGTGTTTAGTCCATTTTCTGCGCATTTTCTTCTATTTCCAACGAAAAGTCAAGAATCCAAAATGACATAGAGGAGGATGGGGATATGGAAATCACCTATAATCTGTTAGCGTACCTAAAAACCGAAAAAAAAAAGTAAATTTACTTTATATTGTGTTTATCTTCTCCCTAAGTTTTCTTGGCAGGCAAACATAGCATTAACAGACTAAGAAACTCTAGAGACTTTGTTGAGATTCACACGATAAATACTGATAAGAACTTTTATTTCATAATTCTCAGTTTCTTCCAAAGTGTTGGTTGATTTTCGAATTAATTCCTGTATGCCGAAGACGTTATTTGGAACTTGGGATTGGTGAGAAAAAGGAAGAGAAAAGAAAAGTGAGAAGGACTGTTTTGGCTTTTTATGAAATAAGTAGAGAGAATAGTTGACTTTTTGGTATTGAATTTTTGTCCAAAAAAGCTAGATCCCAAACTTTACTTTGGAAAAAGTTATATTAAAAATAAAATAACATTGTAAGCTTGATAACAATTTACCCCCTCAGCTAGGGTTGTTGTCACTTGACCCCTTCAACTAAAATTGTTACATTTTGGCTCCTCAATATTCTGATTTGTTTGAATCTCAACCTTTGTTAACATTTTGCTATGAAAAGAGAATGAAAAAGTAGCATAGGACCTGTACATGTCAATTTTATGACAACGATGTTCATTCAAGAGGTGGTTTTACCTAACCATATATGTGAGAGATAGGCATATATTTTCTCATTTGGTCATAAAATTGGCACGTGCATATATTTTCTCTCACATATTTTTTCATAAGAGAGGAAGATATATACATACAACCACTTACGTATATGTAAAAATAATCAGCCCTTGAATGAGTATTTTGGTTGTAAAATTAGTATGCGCATTGTTACATATCTCTTACATATATCAAGTGCAAAAAAGTAGAGAGAATAGTTGACTTTTTGGTATTGAATTTTTGTCTAAAAAAGCTAGATCCCAAACTTTACTTTGGAAAAAGTTATATTAAAAATAAAATAACATTGTAAGCTTGATAACAATTTACCCCCTCAGCTAGGGTTGTTGTCACTTGACCCCTTCAACTAAAATTGTTACATTTTGGCTCCTCAATATTCTGATTTGTTTGAATCTCAACCTCTGTTAACATTTTGCTATGAAAAGAGAATGAAAAGTAGCATAGGACCTGTACATGTCAATTTTATGACAACGATGTTCATTCAAGAGGTGGTTTTACCTAACCATATATGTGAGAGATAGGTATATATTTTCTCATTTGGTCATAAAATTGGCACGTGTATATATTTTCTCTCACATATTTTTTCATAAGAGAGGAAGATATATACATACAACCACTTACGTATATGTAAAAATAATCAGCCCTTGAATGAGTATTTTGGTTGTAAAATTAGTATACGCATTGTTACATATCTCTTACATATATCATTGTGCATTCTTCAACTTTGTTGCATTCTGGAGTTGAGTCCTTAAGTAGAGGGCCAGCAATGGTAGCCATTCCTATTTTCAAGTTAGTGAATTTTTTTATTTTTTATTTATTATTTATAATAGATCAATATTCATTTGGTACAATTGATTATTGCCTAACATTGCTACTTTTGGGGCAAGTGTTTATTTTTCTCCTGATATTGTGTGGTGCGTGTGTGCGTGCTTGTGATGAAATGTTGGTTCTATGCAGAGTACTCATTTGACAAATAAGACAAGAAGAAATGAGTCAACTCCTGAATCTATTCCAAGGAACTCTCTTCAGTAATAATTCAAGTTTCTATAGTTGTCCTTCCAGTTCACTTATGTTTCTTCAACATAAACCATGTTTATATAATGGAAAATATGCAACTTTTCGGAGATATCGAAGAAATCATTTTTCGTTGCAAGGTAACTCCTCAAAACTGACTGACCAATTCTTGATTCTTGAAAACTTTATTAATTTTGCTTTGTTACCCTTGTTAAGTTTTCTAATTGACTTCTCAGCGCGTTGGGAGATGCTAGATCATGCTGAAACATTTGCACTTCCATATAAGGTAATCTCATTTCGTTCTACTGGTTTACTTCACAATGATATTCTATCCTCTGCTTTTAAAAGCTAATTTACAAGTTGAGTCTAACCTGTTAAAAGTGAACCATCGTCCAAGCCTAACTTGCATAAGGCTCAACTGCTGCTACTTTTTTTTTTCCCTTTTGTTTTGGTGGTAGACTAAAAATATATTTGAGAAAAAACACGAATAACTGCAGTGTTCAAACCATGTATAATTAAAATATACAAAGAGAAGGTAATGGAGAACTCCAAAGAAGAAAAGAAAATAAGGAAAATGCTGCACTGAACAATTTGATCCAATGCATCAATAACTTAAACTATACAGAGGATAGCCCGCTTGCTATTCTTGCTCCCTGACACTAGAGTAAGGGCAGTTAGTTGCGCACTTATTACATATGTATAGGCAAACTAGTGCACACAACTTTCATCATCTGGTCACCAATTGCCATTGCCATTTATGTGTTTGATGGAACATGGTTTTATGTTTAAGTGTTGATAAAATATATGGCTTTGTTCTGATTAATGATTTATGTTTTTATATAATTGACTACAGTTATATCAGGTTTACTATGATTTCAAGTATGTTTAGTTAAAGCAAAGCAATTGATTGATGTTAGTCATTTTTGTGTTTTGACAGTATTCTAATGAAAAAACATTAAGTACCATGCATCGCAATGAAAGAGAATTATGCAGGAAATCAATATTATATTTTCAAAGTTTTGTTGTTTGACAGATTATGCTGTTGCATGGGCTGTTCCCTTATGTGCTTGCAACAATTTATGTGCATATCTGTTCCCTTTTGAAGGGTGGTTTGGGTTGGACCTTTTATTGATTCTTTGAAAGATTGTAATTTCGAGTTTTGGTTTCACGAGTGTATATCCTATTTGTCTGTTGCCTACTCCCTCTTTCTATCTTGCAATAAACTCTTCACGAAGTGAGAATAAATTAATGTGCATGGTCTATTCCCTCCATGGGTACACACGACTGTTTGATTCGGAATCAACAGCACTATTCCTTTGTTTTTGATGGACCCAAAACTGTCAGGTCACTTAATAGTTAGTACTACAATGTGCAATTAGGTTTTTGTGTTCATGTTTTATTGGTTGTTGGCTCGAGCACCTTAGTCCATCACAATCAATGATGCTTTATGTCGGTTGTTTGTTACTTGTGATATTGGCTCTTCTATTTTATTAATTCTCATCCAGGTCCCCTTTTTCTGAAGGAAAAAGCTTGTGATGACGCAGAATTGGATGCCTTTCCAGATGTACAAACTCTTAGAAATTTTCCTAAGGAAGAGCTTCTTGGAAAAGTTGTATTGGTCAGATTTGATTCTACAATCCTACTTCGTGAAGAGCTGGACCAGCAGTCTCCATCTGTCAGCAGTGCACTTTTCACTATTAAATACTTATATGATGCTGGGGCTAAAGTAATTTTAGTTAGTAATTGGAGTGTGAAAAACAACACAAAGCTTCTTTTGCTCCTCCTATTAACTTCCGATCTTTAACAAAAGAATGTTGATTGCTCTGGATTGTTAGTTCATGGTGGTTTTTTGAATAGATTATTCACTTGAAGTTTACTTAACATGGTTTTTAACGAAATAGGTTGTTGATTATTGAGTAATACCAAGAAACTGAAAAATAAAAACTCACATCAGATAGGTACTTTTGTTTTTTTGGGGATAGGTTCACATCAGACAGGTAATATTCGAATTGTCAAAATTTATTTCAGGCTTCCAGCATATATGATCTTCTTGTTTTTGTTTACCAAATACAATAACTATAATGTCAATGGGAAAATTAAAGAGAAGAAAGTGATGAAAGCATGTCTTTTGCATCTGACCTCTACATGAAGAGTTGTGAGCTGTCTTACTATTGCTATGCACTTAATGTCTCAGAGTTTCTGTCTGCGGTTCTCCAACTTAAAGTTGCACCAGCAAAACTTGTCTCTGGCAGCGTGCAGTCCAAAATGGAAGACAAAGAGAAAACTGATATTCTTCTTCTCGAAAATCTCTCTGAGTTCAGAGAGGAACTTGCCAATTGTTCAAAGTTTGCTGAACTATTATCAGCATGAATCGATATCTTTGTTAATGATGCATTTTCCCAATCTCATAGAATTCATGCCTCAACTGTTGCTATTACTCGCTTCTGCTATGCATGTGTTGCTGGTTTTCATTTTGAAGAGGGCCTGTATCAAGCAAAGAAGGCCATCAAAACCAACAAAAAACAATTTATTGCCATTGTATGTCTCTAGCATTTTTATGCATTAAAGTTGATTTTTTTTAAAAGTCTATATTTTCACTATATGAATCTTTGGGCTTATATTCATTGACTTTGTCAGTCTCTCATGACTAATACTCTGCAATGGATGCCAGATTGGAGGGGGTAAACTGTTAGAAAAAGCAGCTGCCTTACATTTTTTAGCTGCTAGATGTGATGGTTTGGTGTTTGTTGGAATGATGGCATTTCAAATAATGCATGCCCAAGGATTGCCTGTTCCTAAGAAGTTGGTAGAATGCGGAGCAATTAAAGAAGCTTTAAATTTAACTCAGTTTGCAAAGTTCAGAAGTATGCCAATTTTATTTCCAAAAGATTTTTGGTGCATCAATGATCGTCTCCCAAAACGAATTGAACTATTTCCTGCTCATAATATTTTGGATGGTAAGGTTGGATCTTTTCAACTTTTAATGTGACAAACACTGTCCTCCATTTTGATGAATTAATTATCAAGCATCAATGGTTCTTTTGAAACTTTTCTGTGTGCTAGGAATTTAAATACTTTTCGTGTTAAATTATTAAAATTGCACGTCTTAATCTGACTGGTTGAGCAACCTTGAGCTACTACCATGTGGCTTTGATTATCATAAAAATGTGTAGGTTTTGTGGTTTTTACACTAATCATACACCAGTGTTTTATTGTTAAGTAGAAGATTAATAGCTATCCTCTTTACTATTTTTGTTTTTATTAATATTATTCTAGCAATTGAATTTGGGTTGGATATTTTGATTTGATAAAATCGGTCTATTCATTGAAATTGCATTCATAAAGAAGTTTGACGAATCCAATAATGGTGAAGGTAGTTTACTTAGACTATAGTGTTGAATAATCACGGTTGTATTCCACATAAAATGGTAAAAGGGACAGAGGTTTTGGGTTTTAAACGTGCATTTTTTGGGGCTGTGAACAGTAACTTGATAACACTTCTAAGATTTCTTGTTAAATGAAGAGAAGAAAGAGAGGAAGAAGAAGTGGTTTGCCCTTGCAAGGGTTAAGCAAATTCACACAAGGACACAAACATAATCGCAAATGTTCATAAACTCAACTCCATAGAATAGAAGAATTACATGGATATTTATAGGCCACTAGATTTTTCATAATTCTACTAGGAATACAACTCAAAATAACGAAATTAAAAAAATTAACTTACTAAATTAATATTGGTCTAATAAAGATTCCCTGTAAAACCCAATAACATAACGTGTGTGGTAATTTGACCTATGGGTGACCTCGACAACCATGTCTAGAAAATTTAAAGTTAACAAAAGAATGTTGATTGCTGAGACCAATAATATGTAAAAATATTTTTCCAGCAGCATACTAAATTAAAATAAACACGAATAAGGACGCAATATTACCCAAAACATGATAATATAAAGCCCTAAATGTGCTCCATGTAATATTCCTGATTTTCCCTTTTTTGTTGTCATGCTCTACTTCACATTGTTTTATGATTACAGACTAGTTAACCAATGGATAGCCCCTTGGATAGTTGGATTTTTAATTTATAGTTCAAGAAACTCATTTTTCTTGTGGTGTCCTGTGTATGAAATTATGCAGATATCCATGTCCCTTCTGGTTTCTATTTCTTTCTTGGCATGCCATATTTGCTCACATGAGCTTTCTGGTCATTGTTTGACCTTGTTGCCTGTATCGGTCATCTCAATTGTTTTTCTTATTTATAATTTTATCTCCTGTTAGATTATTCTAGGATTTTTCAGATGGTTTATCTCTAGTACCTTATTCCCTAGTTTTATTTAGTTTTCTTATAAGAATTGTAACTGCTTCTCTAAAATTAAATGGTGTGTGACCTCTGGAAATGCACTCTTGTTCTTGTCCCTCTCCTCAACTTCTATTTGCAAGCATTCACCTACTGGCTCACTACTCATGTCTGATCAAGATGAAGTACCAAAATGAATGAGTCATATAACAGCTGGTCCACTAGTGAGCACGGTCCAAAAAGTCTGTTAATGCAATCGTTTGTTATGCTTGATCTTGCTATTTTGGGTTCCTTAATAATATTCCAAGAGTTTGTATCCAATTATCAAATGTCATGTATTTCACTTATTTTGCCTGGATAGTAATACTGTTAAAATTTACCATCACCTACCACACACTTACCATCACCTACCACACACTCACCTACTACACTCACCTACCACCACCATCCACTACACCTACATCTATATAAGGAACCATTTGTAATAGACAGAATATCAACAATACATCAATCAATAATACATCAGTTTGTTTACATGGTATCAAAGCAATAAGATTTAGGCCTATATTCCTTTTTTTCCGGCGGGCAGTCGGCTGGCACCCATGCCTTTGCTGCCCGCTGGAATTTTCAACACCTCCACAGAGTATGGCTCAATCCCAAGCTTACTTCCATCAAACACAGAAGTTCCAATTGCCACGGATAGCCCACCAAAATACCACCACCTTCTTCAACCCTTCCTGTCCGAACCGGCCTCCTCTCCTTCACTTCTCTCGCCGACAACGTCAAGTGGCGCTGAAGAGAATAGAGAACAAGATCAATCGGCCAGTGACTTTCTCGAAAAGGCGTTCTGGGTTGCTGAAGAACGCTCACGAGATCTCTGTCCTTTGCGACGCCGATATCGGTCTCATCATCTTCTCCGCCAAAGGCAAGCTCTTCGAGTACTCCACCACTTCCTGTATGGAAAGAATCCTTGAACGATATGAGAGATATTCATATGCAGAAAGGCTGCTTGTTGCAGCCGATATTGATTCACAGGTACGCTGGACTTTGGAACACGTGAAACTCCAGGCCAGGCTAGAGGTTCTAGACAGAACCCAAAGGCATTTTATGGGAGAAGACCTTGATACATTGAGTGTCAAAGAACTTCAGAGTTTGGAGCACCAGCTTGACTCTGCTCTTAAACATATAAGATCAAGAAAGAATCAACTAATGAATGACTCCATCTCCGAGCTTCAGACAAAGGATAAGGCACTGCTGGAGGAAAACAAATTGCTTGCAAAGAAGATTAAGGAAAAGGAGGGGAAGGCTCTTGCCCGACATGCACAATTGGAGCAGCAAAACCAAGACCCAGCTCAGATTCGGTTTACACCTCTCTCTCTCCGCAAAACCCACCATTTGTTTTTTAACCCACTTCCTCTCTCCACTCAAGGACATGCACATCTTTGTCCACTTTTCAACCCTTTCCTTCCTCTTTTTGCACCCCACTCACAGATTCACACACCATCACTAGTTTTTAAATCATTATTTTATGTTTTATTTTTTCTTTTTGATCATTACACCATTGCCCCAACATCCTCCACTCACAAATATTCTCCCTTTTCTTTCTCTATTTTTTATTCTTATTATTATTATTAAACACAACAAAAACAAACCACCCCCGACACACCCACTATCTCTTACAATCATTTATCATTTTTTTTTTTCCACCCACTATCTTTTAATATGTAAACATATACATAGATATACATTGACTTCAATTTCTTTTCTTTTCTCTCTTTTCTTTTCTTTTCTATCTATCATATATATTATTATTATTATTATTATTATTATTATTAAAAAATAAATAAATAAATAAATAAATAAATAAATAAAAAAACATTGCAGGTTTTCACAAAACCGTGGGCCACGAAACCTTTTTCATTATTATTTCAAACCAAAAAAAAAAAAAAAAAAAAAAACCAACAAACCAAACAAAACAACCACACCCACCAAGTGGGATTTTTCTTCTCTACTCATGCCGGGATCTCTTCCTTTTTGCTCCGTCCTGGTCAGGCAAGTCCTTGACGGTGTTGCTTCCGTGGTTTCCCTATGCCACCGAGCACAGTTCAATACCCCCTAGCTCCTTCCACTTGCCAGGCATATGGAGGACCACTCGCAAATGAAAACATCACGGTGGCCTTCCGCTTCAGCTCCTTGTTTTCCGCCTTCAGCCCACACTGTATCTCTGCTCGCAATCCTTATACATGCGTTGGACAGCAGAGCCAGTTGGAGTTTAACTTTGCCACCTCATTTGTGCCTGCTCTGACCGGTGCCGACTAGTTTGTGGACCATGCGAGTCATGGTTTCCACACATGACTTCGAACTACTATTCTGATTGGCCTCAATATCAGTTCTGCACCGCCCATTTTTTGCCTCCACCGACCGCATCGGAAATTTCAACGGAGCAAAACCAGAGGTGTTTGGTGAGGTTCACTTGGCCACCGCCACCAGTTATTCTCTTGTGGGCTCGTTCAGTTCTGGAAAGAGCTAAGTGAGCAGACCACGGGAAGAGGGAGGCCATTGTTTTGGGTAAGCTGGACGGAAAGGAAGAGGCCATGTTGCTGTAGTGTTTCAGAGGACGGGTTTGGTTACAGCGTATTACAGAGTTTCTCTCTCAGTGCAAGGAAGAGTTCAGAAGTCTATAGCAGCCGTTTTCCTCGCCCTCAGCCCTCGCATTGCCATTCTATTCATAGAACGCATGACGACCGCCGCCTCTGGCAGTATCACGCGCATCAGTGGGCGCCGCTCGACGCTAGCCGGACCATATGGGCGCGCCTTTTGATGGCCACGTCGTTTTGATGGCACGCCCTATTTTGATTGGCACAGCCTTTTGATGAATTGGGCACCCCCGGGGGCCTTTTAGGTTATTTGATGGCACGCCTTTTGAAGATTTGGGCACACCTTTTGAGGGTGCAACTCTTTTACAAACGGTCCGACATGACCCTATAAACCGGTCCCGACATTGATTCCGGTTTAGCTCCTTCAAGGTCCGACAAAGGACTCTGTAAACTTGGTCCGACATTGATTTCCGGTTAGCTCCTTTATGGGTCCGACAAGACTCTGTAACGTGTTCCCGACATTGATTCCGGTCGTTCTCAAAGGTCCGACAGACCTTTGTAAACCCTGTACCGACATTCGATTCCGGTTTGAGTTTCTACAAGGTCCAGCAAGACTCTGTCAACTGTCACAACAACTGTCACAACAGTGTCTGCTACAACGTACCCGACATGACCCCATAAGAACTGTTCTTCTACATCGGTGCTGACACCGCCACCACTCCGAGTCGCTTTCTTTTCTTCTGTTCTCGCTTCGCTCAACACAACACCCCGTTCTCCTTTTTCTCATGACACCACCATACAGTGTCTCCTACACCACCGTATGACACCACCATCAGTGTCTTCACCAATGGTCCTTTTTTATTTTTATGTATTTTCTTGTTTTTGTAATCTCTCTCCAAAACTCAAGTTGCGTTTAGTTCCTATCCTCCTTGAGTTTGCGGGGGCTGTTAAAACTTTACGATCACCTACCACACACTTACCATCACCTACCACAACACTCACCTTACTACACTCCTCACCCTACCACCCACCCATCCACCTACACCTACTCCCTATATTAAGAAACACCATTATGTAATAGACAAATATCAACAATACCATCAATACAATAAACATCAGTTTTTTTACACCAGTTGACAGCAGAGGCCTTCGACGCCCAGTCAACAGACAAACTTCCTTGCAACAATCCTCTGCCAAACAACTTCTTCGCTCCTGGTGCTGGAAGAGAAGAAGAGTCGTTGTGAACACTCTTGTGCGAGACGTATCTCCTGCTAACACTCTGCCCGTTGCCCTCAAGCGGCAATCTCCGGGCACCTCGTTTCCTATCCGGAGTCTGACTCAGCTCTCCTTTCCAGACCTCAACGAGTCAACAAGAAGAGGAAAACTGGTGCTGTGGCAAACGGAACCTCCAAGCGCCCGGAGTTTTCCTCCGCTTGAACTCCATACACGATCGCGGTCGGTGGAGCAAAAAAATGGCAGTGCAAAAGGATGTGGAGGCTATATAAGTATACTGTTGAACGGCATGTGTGGAGTCCATGACGGCCCGGTCACAAACTTGTCGCCACCGCTGCAGAGGCGTAGGATACAATGAGGGTGCAAGCACCAATTTAAGACTCCCGGGCTGGCTCTGCCTCGCAACGCAATGTATAAGGATGCGCGGGCAGGATAAGTGTGCTAATGGCGGAAAACAAGGCAGTGAAATGCGGACCGAAGGCCAGTGTTCCTATGTTCGATTTGGAGGGCCGCGCATGTATTGCTGCCTAGTAGAGGAAGCCGGAGTCAGGATCATGCCCCGAGCTGGTGTGCGCTGGAGGAAACACCGCCGCAGGCAAACACGCGCCGCCAAGGGCCGTGCCTAAGCGGTCTGGCAAGAAGAAAAGACTCTCTGCGGCAACGCGTATCTCGCGAGAAGAAAACTCCACTGATTTCTCCCACTCTTCGCTCTTCGGATATAGGTAAAACTGTGTCATGGTTTAGTCATTTGTTTTGTGTTTTTTATTTTTACCTTTATTTTTATTTTCTTTTTATTTTTATGCGCGTCGTAAAAATGCTTGATCGCGGGTCTGAATTCCCCGGCATGAAGAACATGCACAAGTTTGTAAAATGTTGTTTTTTTTTTTTTATTATTTATTTTGCGTGTTTTGATATTGTTTGTTTTGGGAGTGTTTGTTTGGACAAGATAAAAATAAAATGAGAAAGAAGAACAAGGCGAGAATAGAAAATAGATGTTAAAAAATATTTATAGTAATGCTTATACTGAAAAACATTCAGTGCGATTGTTTCAAAATATGAAGTCGAGGGCGGTATTTTAATAAAAGGGAAAAGTGACTTGGTTGAAAGAATAAAATATAAAATAGACGTGGATCTTTTGAATTCATAGATGGAGGAAGACAGGGGTGACCAGAACCCATGTGTATAAGAGGTGGAGAGGGACGGTCTCGAGGGTCATGGACCGCGGTGCAAAAAGGTGAAG